TATAATGGATCAAACCAACCCCCAAAACCCCAAAACCCCAAAACCCCAAAACCCCGTTATGTAGAAAAGTTAAAAAGAGTGTTGGTACTTAAAAGAATTTAACGTAATAATTTCGGCACGGCACCTTAACTTTTATATTAATTCTTAAATAATAAATACTTATATAAATAAATATTTCGATTCTAACTTCCTGCAAAAGTTAAGATAACATGTACAAACTAAAACTAGTTCTGGTGACTGTTGCAGTTATCAAACTTGTCAAGACTCAAACATAAAGTGTTTCTCCATATACCGGATCATTAGCCGATTGCATTGCTCTCACTGATAAGTTCGACTTCACTGAAAATCTCAACTATGATGTTGATACTTTAAAATACCCATATACAACAGCGTATTAGATGGTTGAATGTGATGAGGGAGGGATATGCCCTGATGGTGTTTTTAGACAATTCTGTTAATGGCAAAGATTTCTCCGTGTTCAGTGTACTGCATCAGGAGATGGAGCTGAATTTAAAATCATAACAAATTCATTACCAAATCATTGCTTCTACGCAGAAAACGATTACCCTCTCGGTTCAACATCATACTATAATGCATACGGAGTGGAAGGTAAATTCAATTTAAGACCTACCTAGATGGCAGCCTTTGCCCAAGACACCTCAAATTCAGCAAAAATTTACACTACGATTGCAAACAGAGCTGATATTGATGCTTAATTATGTCAACCATAATGGGCGAAAACATCAGCAATTGATACAAATCTTAGACCAGCTGAGACTATATATACAAGTACCACTAATACTCCAGCCTACTATTCATCGTGGTCTTCTCCAAAAACCGTAGCATCATTAAATTTGATTAGATTATACGATTCTGATCAAGTAGTCGGTGTTGCATTGAACGGTGTCTTTATATTCACTGGAACTAGTGAATATGGCTACGATATGTATTTCCCAAAAAATTATAATAATCCCACAATGCCTGATAGAATTCCAACGGATGCATGTTTGGGCTCATAACAGACAAATAATGTTTACAGATATCACATGTACTCTCCCTGTATTTATGATATTGCAATGAAGAAGTAAATTTTAAAGTGCAGTTAATCAGCCTCATGTTCTCAAGATGTGAGAAGACATGCAATTGATCACACTCCAATTTCAAGCAAAGGATTATAACCTATTGGTCTAGCTAAAGATGGCCGTGTTATTTATGGACCCTTCAAAGTGGACGGAAGTTTGTGGAGACCTTGTGATGTTGATGTTTGCAATGGCAGATACTTTGGAAATAATTACGGATATGTAGCTACAATGTTTCACCCTTATGTAGTTTCATGCTGGGGACCAGGAAATAAAATTGTTAGAGTCAAGCAAGGATGTTCGGCAAACCCAAGATTCTGCAGTGCTGGCAGCAATCTCTTGGTTAGTAGCTTCGTCATTTCTTTTGGATTTATAATGGGAGCTCTAGCCCTAATCTTTTGATGATAAATATCCCAAGCTTAGCAAGAATAACTTTTAAACTAAAATAAATTAAATCTTTTCCCTTTTATGTCCTTTAATAATTCCTAATATGTTTAATACCTTTTCGTTTCAGATCTTGAGATGATTGACTGATGGGGTTTTGGGGTTTTGGGGTTTTGGGGTTTTGGGG